TTCTATCTTCTATTCATTTAAGAACTCAAAATCGTTTTAAACTTTACCTGCAGGGTTTTACATATAGTTTCCCTGAAAGGATGAAAGAGCAAGAGTATCATTACAGCTGACTATTCAAACCCATGAACAGTGTCTTACAAATTATATATACAAACCTTGATCTGTCGCCCACCCTACTCCCTGCAATCCTGCCTCTCAGTCGGCTAAGGAGGCTGTGCTCTGCACAACATGCCTTCGTGTAAGTTCTGGAGCAGAAAGTACGAGAGCATTTGCATGATCTGGTAACAGGGATGGTTTTATAGCACCTCCCTTCATACAAAATACATGGAATGTCTAAATCCCAATCTCTAGACCCAGAATGACTGGAAAGCAACCCAGCAACCACCTTTCTGACTAGCACACTATAATAAGAGGCACTCCATCTTTTAACTTCAGTATTTTGAGCCTTTATCTCAAAGATATAATATATACCTAAGTGGTCTAATTCCAAAGGATAAGCGTCTAATTCCAAAGGATAAGCATCCCAAAGCGTCTAATTCCAAAGGATAAGATGTAATATGGAATAAAACTAAGAGCTATCATGTAAAATGGATAAACTGAGGCAAGATAGCAAAAATGAAGTTCTCAAATGTGCAACTGTAATAGTATTCATGCAAGACTGAGCACTCAGCATATGATCGCAAGCGCAACACAGAAACCCTGAAAACTCACCTATGTCACCAGCTGCTGTTTTAAAGTATCAGAATTTTAAGAATATTAAAAATACCACAATCTTGGGTTGACTTGTTACTGTAGGCAAGCAATTTTTGATTTGAACGAATACACCCACTCCTCTAAACATTACTGATACGAAACACCATATGGCTTAACTAACAGGAAAACTAACAGAGGGGAAAAAAAAATGCAGTTCATGAAGCAATAGAATGCCAAATGCAAGGAAACTAGACACTTGACAAGATAAGCTTCAATTTCTTGCCCATCTATAAAAGCATTTAATAAGACTAATAAGTAAATAAAACAAAGACTCTTCTTTTTCCCCAAATGATTTACAAAGATGTACTTGATGTATTCTGTTTCCAAGCTGTATTCCGGAATTTGCACTGGGACAGTCTCTGACAGTCTATTCATTAATAATTTTTGTAAAACAAATACTGATGTTCAGATATAAACAGTCTCATGGCAGCTTCAGGATTTCTGCCAGAGAGATCAAACCGACACTCATTGCAAACTATTTTTAAATCAGGTTACTAACTGGAAAATTACATTCCTAATATTTGAAATAATTAATCTGAAATAACGGTTACTATATTTGGAATAAAGAAGCCTTTTCCCCACTTCATCAACCATTGGAAATACGGTAAATTTACATCTTCCAAAATTAAATCTGACAAGTTCCTCCAAAATTTATAACCAACTTGTTTGAAAGAAATTCAGTGCCTACCTGAACCATCAGTAGAGACTGAACTTGCATTAATTCCAGAAAGGCCAAACAAAGGACATTCTCGATCAGTGTTTACATGACCCCACTTGTGGCATTTAATGCATCTCACATTCCGCACCTGAGAGGAGAAAAAAGAAACAATTGATAGAATTTAGTTAACAATACAACTTAACATTTAAAGAAATGTCTATATTATTACGAAAAAAGACTTTTAAACTCACTGAGAAACAGATGATAAAATTAAGAGAGTCCATGTGAATGTTCTGCAGTTAGATAATATTTGAAATAACCCAAGACATCCACAGAGTGGAATTTATGTAACTTGCCTGGATACCAAATGGTTGATCTCTGATATTCATATCATCCTTAGCATACCTGTTACACAAACACAAAAAGAAAAAAGAATAAATCTTCAACTAAAAAATATGCACGAAACTACAGTAAGTCTTGTTAATATTAGGTGAGCATCCATTTCTCAAATACATCTCTGGAAAGCATTAGTTTTAATATGTTTTCAAATATGAATGTAAAATTCTAACAAAAACAAAACACTGAGGAAAGGGTTACAGGTTTAACTAAGTACAAAGACACAAAAGGATTGTAAAAATGACTTGCTTGAATTAAAAAAGGGAAAAGATTGTGAGATTAAGTAAGAAAAAAATTATTTAACTTGGATAAAATCCACATATCTTACTTTTCTCGAGGGGCAACTTTTTGCCATTCAAATTTATACTCGGTCTCTCCTTCTTGCTGTAAAATATAAAACATTGGAAGGTTGAAATATATTATACATTTTAAGTAATCAGGAACAAAACATAAAGAAATGATTTAATGACTTACCTCTTTAGCTTCTTCTGTAAGTTATCAGAAATCATAAAAAAAGGAGATAATATATTAATTATACATGTAACATACGGCTGCTATCTAATCTACAGACAAAAGATTTTATGGTTTACTATAAACAATTAAACTCTAGTATCTTCATTATGAATCCTGTAAGACTAAAATCATCTTTTAACCGTATTGCTTAAATACAAGCACTAAAAATCTT